ATATATCCGATGCTTCCTTCAGCTTTTTAATTAAAGATATTACATCATCAAAGTATAAGTCATAAATATTTAAGACATAAATGAAATGAATGAATAATTGTAAAAAAATGTTGTTTTAATTTTAATTATAATTAATTATATTTTCTATTTATTACGATTTAATACCATTTTGTTATTTAATTAATAATTTTATTTCATCTTTTTATTATCCTGTTTTACATCATTTCAATGAAATTGTGAAACTGATTGTTTCCAATTGTTCATTTGTCTATTCTGAAACACTAAAGTACACAAATAAGCAGTTTCTAAAAAAAGTGTTCAAGGTAGGGGATAAAATTTCCATTTTTGACGAAAATAATAATTCCCATTATATTTTTCATCTTAATGATCTTTAAAGATCGCAGTACAATATTTTAAAGATTGAGAAATCATTCGTAAAGTTTTATAAAGAAATGTAAGTAATCTTCATTGCTTTTAAATTATTCTTATTATATTCATTCACCATTAATTTCAAAATCCGGTTATAACTGATATATCAAATTTATAGGGTCTCCTATATACTGTTGTGAATTGAAAGCAAACGAACGAAATAGTGTTCATTAACGTCATTATTGATGATATTATATTTTTTACATTCAATAAACGTATTGCGTTGATAAATTCACAAGATAAATTTCGATAAATTAGAAGAAAATTCAGTACGAGAATATAACAATAGAATTAATATTAGAGTTGCTGTATAGAATAGTTAATACAAAATTTATACTGAATGAAATTATTATATCTATTGAATTATGAAATCACAGCATATTTTTGTAGATCGTCTAGTGCGCAGAAGGTAAATACTAGATAAATTATGAAATAATTCTATATATATATATATATATACATACATATATATAGGAACACAGGGTGCATTTAAGAAACGAGTGTATTTACAACAGTGGAAATAGTACACCAATTAATAAGGACCACACACAATATTTAACGCGATGTTTTCTCGAATTTTATTTTTGAACTGAGGGACTTTAATAAAAGTGCATTCATTTCGATTTAGTTCTTTCATAAAAATAGTAACTCTCACAATATGAATTTTCTTAAGCCTCAAAGAAATAACGGAATGAAATAATATAATTAAAGTGTAAAAAGATATAGATATTTGTTACAGGTAAATATTTTAGTTACTCTCATATATTAATTTTATTCTTGAATTCTATACATTTCATGCAACAGTATAAGTACTATTATTAAATATTTCAAATAGAAAGGTCTGCATGTGTTCAATCTAATTCTTCAATATTAATGCAGAATAATAATTGTCCTAGGAAACATTAATTACCCAGATAGAATGTCTTATTTCTGTGTTACTGAAAAAATATTGTTTATTACTTATAGGAAAAAGAATATTTACAAAGAATTTTTTTTATATATGTATAAATCTATGGTAAACTATTTTGTTAGATTTATTTTTAAAAAAAGGCTTTAATTCGTTTGCAAGTTTTATGATATTTTTATATAATTTATAGTTGCTCTTAGGCATTGATAAGAAACTGAGGAACATATCTTTCCAACAGAACCAAAATGGTTTTCTTTGCACTTCTGCGTAGTGTGAAAGTTGATGATAAATTAATGTATTTATTGTTGAAGTATTTTACTACATACGTGAGATATATAATTAGGAAGTTAATTTAGAAATGTTAAAAATTAAGCAATTTAGGTAGCCTCTGTAATACTATATCGCATAAATGAGAAGCACTGCCCTTATTCAATTACAAAGGCGACAGTAGTAGTAATAGCAATAATTAATGACAATGTAATGCCAATGCCTACATAATTATTTCAGATATGATATTACATCTCTTATTTTGTATAACACAAATTTATGAAATACAAATATGTTGAGAAATTGTATTTAAGTTGTATTGAATTAACCAAACTTAGTAATAAGAAATAAAACATAAAGTTGAAGAATGGAATAAATATAACAAAACTAACTTTAATAAAAAGATACATCATAAATTGAAATACAATTATAGTATAAATCAAAGTTTTTTTCATATTATAATT